TTATTTCTAGAAGCTCTCTAGTCACGTGACTTAATTCTGCTCTGGACAATTTGTTTCCCCTCTATCTTATCATTTACCCACAAATTTCAGTAATTTATTGACCTTTGGGGAATTTAAATATTTTTACTTTGCCTCTTTTTGCTTTTATGGTTTCTGCCTCACTGAATTCCACTCTATTATTTCCTCATTTCTTCACTTATTTCAGGTTTAATTTCCCTTTACACTTCCCAGCTTCTTAAATTCACAGCAGAACACTGATTATGGGCATTTCTTCGTACATTTATAAGCATGTAGTGCCATAAATTTCCTTATGAGCATCACTTTACATCCTCCAAATTTTTATTGTACTTTCAGTTTTATTTAGTTAGGGATGTTTTCTAACATCCCACGGAATTCATTATTTGAGTCATGTGTTATTATGAAGTATACTGACTTAATTTCTCACATTTGGTTAACAGTTCCTTCTTCTAATTGTTAAGTACACTAGGAGGAGTGAGTACATGGACACATCTTTTTATACCCCCTTTCCTTTCCATCCCCTCCCCTCTCCCCATTCTTAGCCCCCTTTCCATTTACAAACTATTTTTACTCTGTTGTAGCCAAAGAACAATCTGTACGACTTAACTTTTTTAAAATGTATTCAGACTTGTTTTGTGCTCCAGAATATGGCCTACCTTGGAAAGGAGCCGCATGTGCTGGAAAAGCACACATACTGTGCCGTGATGGGTAGATTGTTTATAAATGTCAGTTAAATCAGCTTTGCTAATATTTCTTTACATCTTCTATACCCTTCGCTTTTTTTTTTTCTGTCTTTCCTATTCCATCAGTTACTGCAGAGTTGAAATAGCAACTGTCTTTATGGATTTGTTTGCTTCTCCTTTCAGGGCTGTCAGCTTGAGATTCATGTACTTTGAAGTTTTGTATTTTGATATACACTTCAGAATTATGTCCTTGACCTTTCTACCTCTGTGATCTGCCTCCCTGTAATATCCTTGTCTTGACAACCATGTGCTGATACTACTGCAGTCTCACTCATTTCTGTTATCACATGGTTTAAGATCTTTGGTATTTTTTCATTACCTATTTATTTTTTTATTGAAGGAGGTCCTTATTTACTTTTTGGTAGACCTGATGCTTATACTGACTTTCTTTTAGTAAGCATGTAGTTGGGCCTTGCTGTTACTTACACTTTGACAGTCTATATTAATTGAATTGTTGTTATATTTAATTCAGTTATCAGTACAGAAGTAATGTTCATCACCTGCCATTTGGGCTCTCTTTGACCCCTCTGTTGTTCATTCTTTTTCCTCCTTCTTTTGGATCGCTTATACTTACTATCCTACCTTATCTCAACTTTTGGCTTACTGCTTTTTTTGCTATGTTGAGGTGTATCCATGTCTTTTCCTTATGGTTAACAAATGCTTTTTCATCACAGTGTAACTTCAATATTTTAATATATAAAAATGTAAGAACCTCACAACAATGTGGCATCATTTATGACTTCCATCCTTGTACTGCTGCTGTCGTTCATCATTTCCACAAATATTATAAACCACACAATATCTCGTTTTTGCATTTATAGTTTTAGAAAGTTAAAAACGAGCAAACTATTTTTTTAACACTTAACCAGATGTTAACCACTTTTGGCATACTTCATTTATGTACATTAATTGTCCAAATATGTTTATTCACTTCCATGTTTCAAGAATTGTCTTTTAACTCTCCTTGGTGTGCAGACCAGCTAGTGAGAAAATCTTGCTGCTTTTCTCTGAAAGTTGTCATGTTGCCTTCATTTTAAAAGATAATCTTAAAGTATAAAATGTAAATTTAACGTATTTTTTATTCTCTTTGTAAGCAAAATAACTTTCCCATGGTTTTCTGATTTTTCCATAAATCTGCTTTAACCCATACCTTTGTGTATGTAACATTTTTTTTTACAATATTTTGCTATTTCCCCATGTTTTCAGCAATTTATTTATAGTATTCTCTAGTGAATGAATGGATTTTGTTGAGTTCTTCAAACCTGTACTTATAATTTTCATCAATTTGAAAAATGCGGGCCCTTGTTTCTCTAAATAGATTTCCTGTTCTCGCAGTTCATCTCTCATGGGACTCCAATGAGTATATTTTTACCATTTTGCATTGTCACAAAATTCATGGAAGAAAATCTTTTTTAAAACTTCATGGCAGCAAAATGTGAACTCGGCTCACATAAGGTGGCTTCATCTTTATCACTCCTACTGGGAATAAGCAAAGGTTTCACTCAGAAATAATGAGTTTAATTAGCAGGCACTGCCAGATCCTGCTGAGGCACTTTACAATAGATGGCACAGGGAAAGTGTGAATTCAAAAACTCATTCTGCGCTGTTCCAGTAAGGGATTGTGTTGTTGGTGTTCTCAGAATTGCTATTTTCCCTGAAAACAACAACAACAAAAAAAAATCACTTGGACTGGGGATTTAGTTCAGAGATTCCGCAGCCTGCGGGGCAAGCACAAGGTCCCGAGTTTGATCTCTGGTACCAAAAAAAAACAAAACAAATAAAACCAATCACTTTATTTCATAGAGCAAGTTAGCAAGATTTTGGGGGCGGGGGGTACTGGGGATCAAACTGAGCTAAATCCCTGGCCCACAGCAATAATTTTTAAATGAGCCTATTTTCGGTACAGTTTTGTTGAGATACAGGATCAATATTAATAAATATGAAAAATGCAACTGACCCTTCAGATATGTAATCTAAAACTTACAACATAGTGACACACCAGTCACAGAAAGGTCACATTTGGCCATTGGTTTGAATTTTCCCCAGTGTGACACTTGTTTCCTTAGTGACTTACAGACAGCATCGGGATCCACTCCCCCTTCATCTCCTTGATACCAAGACCCTCTTCACCAAACAGCTGGATACCTGGAGGGCAGAGGGCGCTCTTGTCTGCCCCTGTGGTGCTGTCTGGCTGTCTGGCTGGCTAGGGGAGTTCGTCTGTCTGCCTGGGCCTTTGTATGTTCAGAGGCCTGTCCCTCTGTTGCAGGGGGGCCTTCCTCAGGGTCCACCTGGCTGACTGGGACATTGCTGTGTGCCTTAACACATTTCCAGCACTCAATCCATGTTCTGGAAATATAATTGTAGTATCTATATTATGTATAATTTAGTGTAACAAATATATATAACACGTTATAATTTATCATGATAGTCATAAGACCTGACAATATTTAATGATGTTAACACTTTCATGGCCTACCATGTACCAGGTGCTATTTTAGGTGTAAAATTGGGTCACTTAATCCCCCAGGGACATCTAAGCAAAGTAGGTACCACTACTAACATCCCTACCACATTGATGAAGAAAGCCAGGCTCAGAAGCCTGTCCACCCCTAGCCAAGCTACAGTGACCTGCCTGAGATACCCTGTTTGCCTGGTCTCAGAGAGCATACTCTTCACCAACCTACGTTCACAGGCCTAAGAGTTACAGAGTATTATTTGATTATATATTCTATATTCATGTACATTTTAATTATATAAATTAGTAAATCCTTAAAGTATATAATTACTCCAAATTCTTTATGTATTATCAACTTTTACTTTATAAAGAATACTAAGTATATTGGCTATATATATATTTGTTATAAAATCGTTTTACTGTGTGCATTTACATATTTCTCTATATTATATACATTTTCTTATAATTTTGTTTTCAACATGTTTATTATATACTGCTTTTCTAAACTTAGGTAAATATATTGTATCATACATAAATTTATATATTGCTTCTATGTTTTATATATATATATATATATATATGTATATATATATATGTCTCTTATCTGTTGCCTATGGTATATAATAAGTATACGGTATCGTATCAACAACTGGTATTCACTGCCTTAATTATAATTACAACAATTATACCCAGTGCCAAAGGCTTCCACTTTGCAATCGCTCAAAGTAGGCTAAAAATCTTTATTCTCTTCAGCTCAAGCAATCCTCGGACACAGGCATGGAAGTTCGAGTTGGTGCTTCACAGTGGGGAAGCCTTGGCCGGGGGCACTTGAGATGCTACAGGGCCCAGGAAGCCTCTCGCACAACCCCAGTCAGGAAGTGACCTCCCATCCGTTCAGCCAGCCCAGAAGCCGGTGTGGCCAGTCCAACGTCAGGTGCCTGCACCCCTTGCACCGCTGCCCCAGCCGCGCCCTTACCCAGAATTTAGCCCCCAGGTGACGGAGCCGGGACTCCACTAGGCTAGGCGCTCTAGGGCTTCACCTAGTGGGGCTGGGTGTGGGGTCAGTCAGCTGGCCAAGGAGAGAACAGAGACTAAGAGCGGACAATTTGGAGAGCGTCAAACAAATGGAGAGACACAGACCCAAAGAGCCGTCCAGAGACAGCCTGTGAGGATCCGGGGTCGAAGATCGAGACGCGGCGATCAGGATAGGCGCGTCTGCACCCGCGTTCGCCCTCATTCTCAAACTGTCAGTTTGGAGCCCTTCTGCTAGTTGCCCAGGCCCCTCGCAGCCTTCCGTGTACAGCACCGCTCTCCACGCTTCCCGGGATGGGACGATCCGATCCAGACTCTTAAATTCCTCTTCATTTCTAGGCCACTGGAGACTGGTCCCTGCCCTGGGCCGTCGAGCACGCCCCCTTTTCCTGTCAGCCAACAGAGTTGCGTAGAGGGCGGTGCGGCGCTGTCGTCATCCGAAGACGACGTACAACCCCCTCAAAGCCACGCCCACAAATGTACCCCTTCTCCTTAGGTTTAGAAACCTAATCTGTATGGCTCAGTCCACAGACCCAGCGTAAGCAAGTGGCTCATCTAGATGAACACTGTTCATCCTGCACTTTTCTTTCGCCAGCTGCATTCTCAGGTGCCAAAAGGATATCCGGAGCTTGAGCTTCCGTTTTTCCAGCGCCGCCGAGCCCTTTGTCCGATCACGTAGACCCACGAGTAATTCCCACTTCGAAGAGACTCTCCCCTTACCTTAGATCCGAGTCCCATAGGCTGACCAAACTGCGCGCGGCACTCCGGCTGGACGGGGTCACTGGCCGTCAAGCATCCGCTCCACCCCCGCCAAGTCTTATTCAAGCCTTGCCTTTCTTGGCGGATAAAGAATGAAGTTGTCTCAGTTGTGGGGAAGCACGTTTATTGAACTGGCGCGAGTATCCATTAGGGGTTAAGCTGTAAAAGTCCTCAAGTGAAGAGAGCCTTCGGTTGGTCCGGGAGACTTCAGCCAAGGCTTGAGCGGGTACAAACACCAGCCGATCCACAGTACTTGTCCTGGTGTGACTTGGACTGCGCGGGAGGTAAAAGGTAGACTATTCCGGATTGGGCCAGAGGCAGAAAGGCCCGCCCTCTGCACTCCAGGATTGGCTGAGAGAGAGCCGCGCCCCCTCACGCCGGCGGCCGTCAGTAGGAGACGTGAGCCGTTCTCGCCCGACTTCTGCTCTCTAGCCAGCTCCACGTGAGTGTACAGAAACGGCTCGCAGGGTTCCCGACTTGATCTGAAGTAGATCCGGGAGAGGCGCGCTCCATCTTAACGGTGAGGGAACATCAATAGGCTGCGGGAGTGGGGCGCCGCGGGGCGCGACTGAAGCTCCATAACCGGAAGTGTCTTCTGAGAGGCGTCGTTTCCGGAAGTGTGGCCGAACTGCGGCGGTACCCGGAAGTGTGGTGCTGCCCCGGCCCCGGGAGTCGGACCAGTTGAGATACAGGGATTAAACAGGTGTTTATGTATCTTTGTTTCCTCGAGCCAGTAAAGCCCCTCTCTGCGGAAAGTTTTGGAGGGTGCAAGCATTTGGACATGATTTTGAATGTCTCTTCCCTTTGAAAGCCGTGGGAGAAACAAGCCCCGGGAATGTGTCCAGGGGGCCTGGCTCTATAAAGGCTTCTGAGAAGTTTTCTTTCGCTGCCTGTCACCCCCGATTCCTCCCCCCAGGGATGTGCAGATGGAGGCCGGCGGAGACACTGCTGCCCCAGCCCCCAGGGGCGCGCAGGACTTGGAGGGCACGCAGTTCCCTAGTGAGGAGACTGGAGATAGTGGAGTTCAGTCGGGCCCGCCGGATCCCGGAGACACGAACCTGGAGGAAACAGGTATACGTTGCCCTCACTAGCGTCTTGTAAGGAATCCTGGGGTTGCGGAAGTCATGTTGGGCAAGGGAGAGAGAGGATCGACCGAAGATCATTAGTGAAGTCTTTGAGGACTCAGGGAAGTATCTTGAAGCAGTAGGCGGTAATAGTAGACTCACTGGTATAGTTCAAATCATTGAGAAATGAAAAGAAAGTCAGTAGGTATCAGCTGATGTTCACCCAGTGCAATTTTGTGGTCCTGGGTAGATGCATCCTTTTTTTTGAGGGGTCAAAGGTAGGAAGAGGGACCATGCCTGTTTGTCCAGGAATATATTCATTTTAGCGTTGGCAGGCCTTTATTCTCAGAAAACTTTCAGTTCTGGGCAAATCGGAATGTATTTGGTTTGAGTTTAGGTGGCTGATGATCAAAGAGTCCATCCACTTGGGGTGAGAGAGGTTCACTGGGAGTTTAGGGTATTTAGGTTGATGAACATGAATAGGGTCAAAGGAGGAACTATTGAGAAGTTTGTGTTTGGGATGGGAAAGGCAGCGATCTGTGGGGACCGGTAAGCACTTAGTGCCTACCTCATCGAAAACTCAGTAGAGGGTTGTTGAGGAACCAAGTGTTAGTGTTTGTTAATGGTGATCAGTGCGGGAAGAGGGTCCATGAGATTTGGAGAACCAGGTGCGCGGTGTGTTGGCGGAAGGGTGACACCAGATAGCGGATGTGTAAAGGTGTCACTGGGGAGTGTGGGAAACACTTTTAGTCACTTTAGAATTAGTGGATGTTAATAGGGCCACTGGGGAATGTCAGCCAACATCACTGAGGATAAACGGGTGGGATCTTTCAGTCTTGAGAACTAATGGCAGTTACTAGGAAAGGGTAGTTAGTATTTGGAGATGTGGGGTGTCAGTGAATGCCATTGAGAACAAATGAGGTCCCTGAAACTTTAGGAGAAAATTAGAGATACTAGAGGCAAATGTGTAACTATCATCTTTGGGTGAATCAGGAGACATCAGGGGAATAATCAGGTGTGTCCGGGAGGCAGTAGGCGTCACTAATGTGCTGGATTTTAGTGAGTGTTAATAGGGTTATGGGGAACAGCAGTGGAAGTCTTGAAAAGTCCTGTGTTAATGAAGGCTAGTGGTGGCCATTCGTGGAGGGGAGGAAGTGGATGTGGGAACGAGGGTGTAAAGTCACTGTGATGGGAAAGGGGATCAGTGAGGGTTGGTGGGGACCCGATATTTACATTATTGGAGGGTCAGTCTTAGAGTAACATAATTTGTGGATCAGGGCAGTCAGTGAGAGTCCTTGAAGGCACACATTAGTGATTTCACGACGCTAATGTGGGGCCCTTGGGGGAAGTGTTAATGCCTTAGTGGAAGTAAACAGAAGAAGTGTATAGGGGTAAGGAGAGTCCTGAACACCTGGGTGTTAATGGCTATTTTTTTTTTCCCCAGTATGGGACACTGACTCCAGAACCTTCACCCTTCATGCTGTACTACATCCCCAGCCCCCTTCTCCATTTTTTGTAGTTTATATTTTTTTATTTTGAGACAAGGTCTCACTAAGTTGACCACCCTAGTCTCGAACTTGTAATCCTCCTATCTCCATGCACCTAGCTTGTTAGTGGATATTAAGGGCAGTCATTGGGCGAATTGATGAATTAGTGAATATCATTCAGAATATCAGTAGTTGACCAGAAGAGCCCATCAGAGTCATTAGAGATCAGTAGGCATCCTTGAGAATAAAAGTTTGGGGAGTCAGAGGCTGGAGAGATCAGCTATAAGTGGATGTTAACAGTTGTCATGAAGAGGGGAGTGGATATCTGCAGAGCAAATAATGGGTCATTGAAGATGATATTAATGGTCACTCAGAGACGATGGGATGCTTTGAAGACCTGGAATCGGCAGCTGTTGAAAGAAAATAACTAACATTCACGGACACAGAGGATCTAGTGAGTGACAGTTAAATCAAACTAGATTCTTTGGGTTTTAGGAGGATCATGGGAACTTAGTAGATACCATTCGAGAGGTCCCAGTCATTAGTCACTGGGAGTCACTGGTCCAGCAAGGGAATACTCAGGTCTATCAATACGCAAGGGCGGTCGGGAGGCTGGTAAGGATTTGGTGGGTCGTTGGGGTCTACAGGCAGACGACCCACCAGGGGCTCCCTTTTAGGATCCACGGCCGAGGATGGGCCACCCAGCCACCTGTCACCACTGCCCCAGTCAGAGGGCCCATCCGGCACCTGTGAACCCTGGAACTCTGCGGCCTCGGACAGGAGTCCCATCCATGGCCCTGAGAGCAGCTCCGGAGACCCCAGTGACGAGGACTGGCGCGGCCAGCGGAAGCACGTGTTCGTGCTCAGTGAGGCTGGGAAGCCCATCTATTCCCGGTACGGCAGTGTGGAGGCGCTGTCGGCTACCATGGGCGTGATGACGGCCCTGGTGTCCTTCGTGCAGAGTGCTGGGGATACCATCCGCGCCATCCATGCCGGTGAGCAGAGGGGTGGGAAACGGGATGGGGGTCGACTGTGTATCGGGACTGCCCCCCTCTGTCTGGCCGGCTGGGTGCTGAGTGGCTGGGATCAGAGTAACTGGCTGGATGCTCCCTTGTCTGAGAGCGTGGCTGTGAGGGCTTGGGCTGAGCTGGGTGTCCCGGCTGTGCGTCAATCCTTGTGCCATGTCACTGTCCTCGCCATCCCCACCCCTTGCTCCCTCTCGACATCCCATGGTGAATCCCCGGGGTCCGTAATCACCCAGTTTGTCCTTGCCCTCGTCCGGGTGCCAGAGGTGCAGGGATCAGGTCAGGTGTGGTGTGCGCCGGGTCACTCCTGGTCCTGATCCGTCTCTACCCTGCCCTCCTCCAGAGGACCACAAGCTGGTGTTCCTACAGCAGGGCCCGCTGCTGCTGGTGGCCGTGTCTCGGACTCCTCAGTCAGCAGCCCAGCTCCGAGAGGAGCTCCTAGCGGTGCATGCGCAGATTGTGAGCACACTGACGCGTGCAAGCGTGGCCCGCATCTTCGCACACAAGCAGAACTACGACCTCCGCCGCCTGCTGGCTGGCTCCGAGCGCACGCTGGACCGGCTTCTGGACAGCGTGGAGCGAGACCCGGGATCCCTGCTCCTGGGCGCCGTGCGCTGTGTGCCGCTTGCCCGCCCCC